GATGGGTCCCGGGTCACTCAGGCATAGATGGGAATGAAAAGGCTGATGCACTGGCAAGAAGGGGTGCTGAAACCCCAGTATGTGGCCCAGAACCATTTTGTGGTATTGCAAAACAACATGCCTATTCAATTCTCAAAATTCACTGCAATCGCCAAGCACTTCAAGAGTGGCAATCCACTTCTGGACAAAAACACTCTAAAGCGCTAATTAAGGGATATCGCAGAAAGTTTACAAAAGAGTTGCTTCAACTCAACAAGTATAAAACCAGTGCAGTAACCAGAATACTTACTGGTCACTGCAAACTCAATAAACACATGTTTACCCTCGGCCTCAGTCAGACCGCAATGTGCAGACTATGCCATGAGACAGAGGAAACTGCTATGCACATCCTCTGCTCGTGCGGTCCACTCATGCACCGCAGAAGTATCTACCTAGGGCAGCATATTATGCAACCGGAAGAGATACAGATGCTCCCCGCTCAGAAAATCTGGAAGTTCCTGGAGTCAACAGGACTAAGCGGAGAACTTTGAACTCACTATAAAGGGAGCTACAATGGACCAAAACTGGTCGACGTAGCTAGGGCCGACCTCGGCACCACACCCAACACAATAATAATAATAATAATAAATCGAATATGTTATTAAAAACTTTCTTCCTACAAATTACCTGCTTATTACGTCTACACTAAAAATATAAAAATAAAAACTAAAAAAAAACCGACTTCCAGGCACTAAATGTAAAAAATAACTAAACGGGGGTTTTCATTTAGAATAGATACCTAATCAGATATTTTCGAAGTTGGTGCCAGCGGACAATATTTTAAGATGTGAATATCTAATAGGTATATATGTATTTTACGTATCAAAACATATTAGATTTCCTATGCTTCGGCTGGCACCGACTTCGAAAATATCTGATTAGGTATCTATTCTAAATGAAAACCCCCGTTTAGTTATTTTTTACATTTTAGTGCCTGGAAGTCGGTTTTTTTTTTTAAGTTTTTATATTACATTAAATAATTTTTTTATATAATATATACTTGAAGAATTATCTTCATTTAATAATGAAAATTCATCTACGAGATTTAAATGTAACATCTGACACTGAGATATATGTATGTATTTGCCTAAACACGACGATCTACTATATCAATATCATCGTGCATTGTAGTGGTTTGTACAAAAGTAATCCAATTGTATTAAACTTCGACGTTTGCATTTGGCAAGAATCACGAACAGAACAAAGCTCACGTGCGCTACGTAATAAGATTACATACACAAAGCGAAACGAATTCGACACGATAAAGTTAGATTTAACAGTTTCCGGAAATCGCCAAACGATGCTTTTTGCCAAAGGTTTTGTTCATCGAGCAAACAGGAAGCATTCGAGTGGGAAATAAATCTAAAAATACATTTAAACTAATCTTCAGAACGATATAGAGAAACACGCCTTACCTCAATACTTTGCTTTCCTTTACATTAAAAGCTATCAATAAAGTGCGAGTCGGTATTCATTACATTAATTAGTTAGGTTTTCTAACAGAATATCGGCAATAATCGTAAACTTTAATCTGCGATACCGAATAATCTGCATTAACACACACGGATTTCAAAAATACCGAGCCTCGTTTTACCTGGCACGAGTTAATTAATCCTTTTTATCTCATATTTTTAAAGGTCTCAATTATTTTTATGTTTTTATGCAGAATAGTTTCAAGTATACGAGTATATTAAGATTTCGCATTACACATTTGGGTATTTCCTTTCTATGGTAGAATTATATATAAACCTATCTACTACTATCAATATTTTTTGCCAATTTTATTAATGCTTTAGACAAACAGTTTAATATAAAATCAATCCTTCTAAAGTTATTTTCAACCGACTTCAAAAAGGAGGAGGTTCTCAATTCGACTGTATTTTTTTTATGTTTGTTACCTCAGAACTTCGTCATTAATAGTTAACCGATTTGGACAATTTTTGTGTTGTTTGAAAGTGTATACTTCCAGATTGGTCGCATTTAAATTTCAAATAAAAAATACCACCCCTAATGGTGGAAAAATAGCTAATGATGAATTTAACCTACTTCTAATTGTCATATTAACTTTAAATTTGCAAGTGTTTCTATTTCCGTTGATAGTATAGTGGTTCGGTATTGTTGACCTGATCTGATGGTAAGGCCAGAAGATGGATAGGTGGAACTCTTCAACGGCTAATAGTACATACTTTGAGTTTGGGCTTATTTTGTTCGATTTGAAAAGCCTAACACGTTAGAATTCTTGCTTTGCTACTACTGTCTACACTAAAAAGGGAAAAATAAAAACTTTTTAACAAAAATTATATTATATTATTAATAAAATAAATTACAATTTTTTATTGTTACAGTAAATATTTTTTATCAACTAAATTTTAATCTTGAATACATATATTAAAAACTATTTTGACGACACGTTTGGCTCAGTTTGTAGCGACTCTACTTGCTGTGCCAGTGGTCGCGGGTTCGAGTCCCGCTGGGGGCATTCATTTGTGCGATGAGTACGAATGTTTGTACTCTAGTCCTGGGTTTTTATAATATGTACTAGCGGCTCACCCTCGCTTCGCTCGGGTTCGTCGCTAGGTACGTTTTAAATAGATATAAAAAGAAAAAATCTTTCTTTCTCACATTTTAATTATATGTTTTAATACTTACCTATTCCGGACTAAGAGAAATCCAAAAATTAAAATATCATAAAAATTGGAACGCGGTCGAACGGGATAAAAAGTATCCTATGTCCTTCTCCTGGCTCTAAACTACCTCCCTGCCAATTTTCAGCTAAATCGGTTCAGCCGTTCTTGAGTTATAAGCGAAGTAACTAACACGACTTTCTTTTATATATATAGATGTATTTAAAGTTATATATGTGTAGTGTATTAACTATCTGGTATCCATAACACAAGTCCTGTAGCTTACAATGGAACTAGATGGTGCTGTGTGTTAATGTCCCAACATACAATACACACATCTAGTATTTACTAAACAATGCCGTTGTCAAATCAATTACTTGAACGAGACTTAAAGTGCTAGCTAGATGTTAGTGATAATTGAAAAAAAAGAATAAGATTATTGAAAAAAGATTTGAAATACATATTATTATTTTTTAAATGATGGAGTGCCTTTTACATGCGTCAAAGCAATATGTCGCGAACATAATGATAAAGGATGGTGGTAGATACAATTTGATACCAACTTCTTTGTCGCTTTATCTGCGCTGTATTCGCACATGTAAATGCATTTAGCTCCCACTTCTTATCTCAGCGAACACCATTAATCTTGTATAACAATGTCCCGCGTGTAACATCTACGACTTAATCAACAGCTCTCGGGTGTAATTTCAACACAATTTCGTTCCCGACATCATTCGATATCGCAAAACTATAAAGACAAAAAGATTTATATCTCATTTTAATCAAGCCGCCACAGAGGTTTACTTAAAGGGCTTCCTACATTTTTATTTACGAAGTTATCGTGTTCGTATGGTAAAGATAAACATTTGCCATTTTTGCTAAACTCTTCGAAGGATGAAAATATAGATATATGTAATTAACTAGCTTTTCTCGCGGCTCCCCTCGCTTCAATTTGTAAAGTTTGTAGATATTATGATGTTAGATAAACTACTTTCCTCAATACATAGATCGACACAAAAAATAAACAATCTCTTCAGCTTTAATAATTTTCTTCAAATATCAAACAATACAGACTTGGTGGTTATCAAGATGTCTTACACAGATTGAAACAAATACAATATACATTTCCAATGCAACTGGAAACCTCGTGCGAACGTTAATGCGGTATATATTACCTATACAATAATAAAATTGTAACTAAGCCGAATCTGTACATTAAATTGTTTTGGAAATTCTTATTGAAATAGACGTTATATACAGAGGCCGAATCTACAGTTTTTAGAATTTTTGTCTGTCTGTCTGTCTGTTACCGCATCACAGAAAAACCAGTGGAGAGATTTTGATGAAATTTGGTATGATGATAGCTGGTTATCCGGGTGAACATATAGAATACTTTACCGCGGGAAAATATCTCGTTTCTGAGAAAAAATACAAAAACTGCAATGTAAGAGTATATTAATATGTAAATCCTAAGAATTTGGTTTTTGGTTATCTGAACGCGGGCGGAGCCGCGGGCAATGCTAGTATTTTATAACGCTGTACCACAACAATCAAATATATTTTTTATTATAAAACTATTAAAAATATACATAAATTAGCCTAGATCTATCGAATGCTTACTTAGTTTCATATGATAAGGGATCTTTAATATCGATCTAAAATGTTACGGTTTTATAATGTATTCATGAATAAATAGCGTGCAGTGTTCAAAACCAGAAATGCAATCAAAATAACTACACTTATAATAGATAAAATTTTCATTTAAAAACTTCCGGCTAATTATAATATGCTTGCTTACAAATCCGAGGAACGTTTTCATCTCTTTTAATTACCAAAAGATGAATTAAATCAAGAGCAAGCTACATGAACTTAATAAAAGCACGTCCGTACTATATAACGTGTTGTTGCGTTTGCGGTTTGAGGTAGATATGTGTTTAAGCCGCTCATTATGTCTTTTTTTTAATTCTTGAATTTAAAAGCAACCTAAATTGAGATTTCAAATGGAATCAGATTTATCTTAATAACTCGTAGCAAAACATATTTTAAACTTTTTAAATTTATAATTTCTTATGTAACATTTGCATGTTTAGTTAATAATATTTTTAGATTATACTTGCAAAATACTAATTATTATTTTTCTGTTGACATTTATTTTGAATAAGTAATAAATAAAAATAAAGATTTTTAGTATTCATAATGTATTTACTTGAAGAAGATTTACACATAATTTCTTTGATATATTACTTTCACAGCCATAAATTAAATGGTATTTACAATTTATATTTACAAGTTTTACAACAAATGACTAGATAAGAACATTACATAAAATCAGTCCTACTTTTGTTGCCACCAAGTAATAGCATCTAATAACTCGTTGTCATCCACGGAAGTGACCTCAGGATAGTAATTGTTAGGGCAGTACTCGTTGTTTGTTGAATAACTTGATGACACTCCTGAAGAACACTCAGAATTAGCTGGAGAAGGCACAGAATCAGAATACGGTGAGTTTCTTCCACCAAAAATTCCTTCGTCTACATCAAAATGTACAGAGGTATCCATAGGAACTTTCGGTTCCTGGGTCACACAGGCTGCGTCAGTATCATCTATTAATCGCTCCAGATATCTTATATATTCAACAACCATTCGTAATGTGTCGACTTTGCTAAGTTTCTTGCCTGAGCCTCGTCGGGCACCTCCAGATAGTGCATTGATGACGGCAGCTGGCAATCTCTTCCTTAATGCATTAAAACCGTCGTTCACTTGTTTCACACGATTCCTTTCGCGAGCATTTCTTCTCGCAATAGATGCTGTTTGTGCCCCATTGTAATTATTTTTATAAGTATATTTTTTATTCACTGTACAATCCATTTCCAAATTTTTCTCAGGGTTAGGTGCAATGGGTACAAATTTTGGCAAGTCGGTCTTGTATGGTGACAAGTACGACATAGTAAAGTTCTTATTTTGAAGCATTTCGTATTCACGATCACAGTAAGGTAAGAAAGTTGGTGAGCAATAACGTTTTCGACTACGAAGTATTGAATGAGAGCGTCGTGCTCACGCGGCTCTTTATATGGTCCCACCTGAACAAAAAAATGAATAGAGAACACTCCCACCCCTATCCTTTTTTTGGGTCGGTACCTGGATTATGTTTTGTTTTTTCAAAATTCAACCGAGTTCGAAACTTTATACACGTGCCGTAAAATGTACGTAGATTGGTAATAATATTGTTTCTATGAAAATTAAGCTTATTAATTATTCAAATATGTATATTGGGTATTTAATTAATCTTTTTAATCTATATTTTTTAATATATCATATTCATTACATTATAAAAATGTCTGAGAGTGCAGTAATTTACATATTGCACATTTTTAAAATATTACAACATAATATAAATATCTTAATTGAATAAATGAAAAATATAACTTAACTAGTATTGCCCGCGGCTCCACCCACGTTTAGATAACTAAAAACCAAATTCTTAGGTTTTAAATATTAGTATATTATTACAATGCAGTTTTTGTATTTTTTCTCAGAAATGAGATATTTTTCCGCGGTAAAAAGTATCCTATATGTTGACCCGGACAACGCTATCACCAAAGCTATCATCATACCAAATTTCATCAAAATCCCTTCAGTGGTTTTTCTGTGATGCGGTAACAAACAGACAGACAGACAGACAAAAATTATTATTATTATTATTATTATTTTACAAAAAACATTTAATGTACAGATTCGGCTTAGTTACAATTTTATTATATGTATAGATGTCATATAAAAATGATGCATATTGTTACAAATCAACAAAATAAGTGAAAATGTAATCTATGTTACATGAAGCATATCATAATGCTTTACATATAGTATTATATAGATACTGTACATGCAGATATATACTACATGTAAAGTAGGTGCTACTACTAGGGTACTACTACAAAGAGGGACTGATATCACAGTATCATATAATTATAATATTAGCTACTGCCTACGGATCTGCCTTCATACAAATTTTATTTATTTATAAGCCTCTACGTTTCCATGACCAAGAATACATTTTAAATCTATACATATAATAAAAATGTAACTAGCCGAATCTGTACAATAAATATATTTTTTTTTAATTTTATTGAGATAGACATTATTATCGATACAGAGGGCGAATCTATAGTTTTTAGAATTTTTATCTGTCTGTCTATCTGATACTGTCAGATAGACAGATAGACAGACAGATAAAAATACAAGCAGATCCGTAGGCAGTAGCTAATATTATAATTATATGATACTGTGATACCAGTCCGTCTTTGTAGTAGTACCCTAGTAGTAGCACCTACTTGGCCAGCGTGGTGGACTATGGCCTGATCCTCCTCGCATTGAGGGGAGGCCCGTGCTCAGCAGTGGGACGTTAAAAAGGGCTGAATACATACATACATCTTATATATACATAGTATTTCTCATGTCCCCCGGTTGGCTGTAAGAGACCTTTTTAGACATAAGCCCTTTGCCTATGTAATCTTTAAATTACTGGTAATAATCTTATTTTAAAATGCAACATAGAATACATTTATACTAATGCCAAAGCTTTCTGAGTGAATGAGTGTGTCTCTTCCAACTATAACGGTTTAAAGGATATGAAAATTAAATAGACATAAGTACTTTATACTTTGTTTACGTATATATGTATATCGACATACCTATTATTGGATATATAATAATAATGTCCTAAGTGTTACTAATTACATATTACTGAGTAATCACTTTCGTTACACTTTTATATTACTTTGAAAGCTGTACATTTCCTTTATTATTAAAAAATAACGTATGGAAATATTGAAACCCTAGATCTACCAACTTCTATCCATATCTAGTTTTCGTTATCGGCATAAAAAGTAGCCCACAAGTAGGTATGCTATTTCGGCCTAACCCTCTATTCTTCAGTAAAAGTCTTCTAAAAATGAGTCGATAGTTTAGCATGTACACACACAAACAGAAAATAAATTGCGTAAATATCATAATTTGTGCTTTGGTATCGTGCAAATAACCATATGTGTTACGTAGCTTTGATCGAATGTTAATTCACACAGCCAAAAATTGTACTTTGAGTCTAGATTTGCTTTTTTTTGATGTACCTATAATAGACTTCATTTTGAATAAGTATTTTTCTAGAATAGAAATAGATTCGTAATGTGTTAGTAAAGTAAAATGAGTTTCTTTTGAGCAATCACATTATACAAAAATATTATTTATTTTAACTATTTTAATGTCCCAAATAATAACTTTAATTTTTTATAAGTTTGTAATATTTTATATAAATTACTAGCAGAACCCACGGCTTCGCTCGCGCTAAAACTACAAAAAGCTCTAAAAAGGTAGGTTCCATACAAACTTTCATCCCCATTTTACCCCTTTATGGGATGAATTTCGAAAAATGTTAAAACACATATTTATTTCATTATATTGAAAAGCATTAATACCAAGTTTTAAGTAATTCTGATCATAATAATTTTTTTGGCTTGTATGATAGCGTATTTTCCCATGGGAATGAGGTAATCTCCCGCGGAAAAGATTAGCCTATATTACTCTCCAGCCCTCTTACTACCTCCACACAAAAAAACACGCCAGTCCGTTACTCCGTTTTGACGTGAAAGAAGGACAAACAAACAAACAATCATACAAACAAAACACACATTCACGTTTATAATATTAGTATGGATATAAGTATTCGAAATAAACTATAATTACTCTAAAATATATACCTACCTAGGCCTAAGCCTATGTAATTTTATAATAATCAATTTGTTTTCCGAATTCGTTTGATACAGTCATTGCTTTAAAATGTCGACTATTTTACTATTTCCGTTACAAACTCTAATCGATAGTTTAAAAACAAGTTGTACAAATTGGATCACATAAATAAAACCCGCATTATAGCTTTTACTAAGAATTTTTTTTATTATCTAATATAAGATATATTTAATTTCTGAAATAATTATGGTAATAGATAAAACTTTTAAAAGTCGCCGAATTTTTTTTATATATAGCTCGACATATTTTTTCTTTCTTTTTGGTCTTTTGAACGCGCACCTTTATAACTACTAATTGGGCTATTTAGAATCCCTCAGAAGCAGAGAAATTTTACATATAATATTATAAGCTACTCGACCTCTCTCGCCGCTACGGTAGTAGCTAATTTAATTTTGTACGAATATTTGGCATTTTAAATAAAACTATGTTTTCGGATTTTGTCGCGTTTCATTTTGAATTTTACAACAATCATGGTCACGGGAAAGATTAAGGTTTCAAACGTCTCAAAGGTATATACTCGTACATAGTTATTACAGATTACCCATAAAATTATACAATGGTTAAAAATATACAAATGGCACCAAATTTCATCACATATATTTGATAATTTTAATTTTAAACATCTATACTAATATTATAAATGTGAAAGTTAGTGAGTATGGATGTTTGTTACTCTTTCACGCCAGACTAGCTGAACGGATCTGGATGAAATTTGGCACGGAGATAGATTATAATCTGGAATATACATATCACGAGATACTTTTTATCCCGGAAAAATGTACGGTTCCCGTGGGATTTGTTTTTGTTTTCCTGAGAGGTGAACCTTTTTTTTTTTTTTAACGTTGGGAAATGCATTTACGCACGACGTGTGGGACTCACCGGCGTAATACAGCCAGTACTACCCACTAAAACCCAACAAAACCTTCCCCCGTCTTAATGGGGCGTCGCAGGATCGCTTACGCATTCAACTACGACGCCCCGACGGCAGGTCTGCCAAAGCAGACCACCACAACCATGGGGTTGCTCCACAGTCCACTCTGCTATCAGAGAAGTACCAGGAGCAACCCGCATGGTACACCGCCCCCCGAGGAGGGCCACCTCCCACAGTCCACCGAAGTGGGCAACCTCCCTGTGTGTTTCTTAGCTTCGCGCCCGGTTGGATTGCCGGGCACCTGAGAGGTGAACCTGAGCGAAGCGAGGGTGAGCCGCTAGTTTGTTATAATTTCAATAAGTTTCATACTTGAATAATAAATATTATTTATTTAATTTTAGTTGCGATTTCTTAAAAACATTGCTAAAACAATAATCTTAATTACTGATGCAGTTTTTGTTAAGTAGGTATGAAGCAACCTTATTGTCTTATGTATAAATTAAAAAGATAAAAATGAAGATTTTTGTTGCTATTATTCAAAATTAAAATATTAAATGTACCAACCAATAGTGGTGCTTAATTGTGAATAAGTCTCTCTCCCGTGACCATGATAGCTGTAAAACATACGGAACGTCGGGAACCAAAAATCAAAATAAATCCGTAAAAAAAATCTGAAAACATAGTTTTATTTTAAATCTGACTTAATAATAAATATATATTTTAATTAGCATAGATAGTTGAGTGAAATGATATAATTGGGAAAAATAATATAGGTATAATGCGTATTTGTATGCGTAAAACTAAACTAGTATAAAATAAAATTTCAATTACACATTTCTTTTATAATATCGAATATATTTTAATTAAATATAATAAATAATAATAATGGCAATGACAAAGGATTTCACTTCTTTTCTCATTATATCATCTTTAAAGTAAAGTGGCGAGCTTTACAAAAGAGGTCGTATTAAGTGAGCGCAATGGGAAAATTTATTACGGTCCTTCTTTGATTTCAAATATGAAACTACTCGTGTTTTATGGTATTTGGACCAACAAGAAAAAACCAGAACCAATGGTAATACCTATTTTGCCATAAATAAGTTATGGTAAAGTTGTACTTTAATATATTCTACTAAGGCGAATTCTGGTTTTTGGTTTCCACTCACAATGCACGCGCCTTGGGCGGCATGCGTTCAATGAATTTTGAAAAAGTTACATTAATTTAGAACTAAGGGCGTCAATACTTGAATGGACAAGGGGTCTATTGTCATATTCATTGTGCTGTAAAAAGATTACA